TTTGCATTCCGCTCTTTCCATTTTCTTGGAATCAGATAGTGTAGATGGGATGCCTCGGTACTTGTGTCGCTTATGCTTTCTCTTCTGTTCTTATATGCCTCGCATTAGGAAGTGCACAATTAAGCAAGTCAGCTAGGTAGTCCTCCAATTAAAAAAATCAGTCCGGTTCCAGGCATAAACGCATCCGTTTCATGAACAGAATCTGAAAATATTGCTTGGTGTAAATGACCAGGGTAGGCATTCCATTTTTCCCATATTGGAGCAATGGGGCACAAAGAACATGAGACTCAACGGAAGGGCAGCCAATCCTCTCTTCTTGTTTGACATTGACTGCATTGCCTGTTGAGTCAACGGCGTCACATGCCAAGCAGTACGTGTCTGTAACCAGGGTAATATGAACACATCGATGTAAATTGCCTATTGTTGAGAAGAGGAGGTGTATTTGCTGGATTCTTCTTTCTTATCACAGAAAAAGCAGTTTGTCTTCTTTGCCATCTTTGTTGCCAATTTCTCAAACATTCCAATATTGCGCTCTTCTTCCATCGCTTCATGTGTTAGGATGCCATGTACGATCCGCATTATCTGCACTGGCTGCCACATCATCTAGGCAATCAAAAGAATGTGTTCTAGCCAAAACAGAACCTGTAGACGCCTCACCTCAAAATAAAGCATCAAACGAATTGCAAATGTTGTCACCTCATTGACATCCCACCACATGTAGCTTGTGCATTCGAGTATGAAGCTGAACAAGCAGTGTGGCAATACTTCCTCCACATCCACAATTTTAATGCTTTCACTTGCTTTGTTTGTAGAATGCAATAGATTTGTTAGCTTGCTCGGTCAGACCGTTGCTCTATCAGGAAAAGTAAAAAGTGAAGCAGAAACCCATTTCTAATACCCACCTACCATTTGCCTTAATGTGCAAGCTTTACTAGTTAATCGGTTATTCGAAAAACGGCTGATTATTTTTGGATTACTTTGTCCGGAGGGCAAATGACATTTTGGTGAGAAGCGGTTGGAATGCACCAGTCTCCGTGGCTCAGTGGATGTCATCGGTGTGTGCAAATGGGCGAGAGGATCCGCGGTGCCCCTGCAACTCCAGCAAGCTGCAAACTCCATTGCAAGGAAGGGCAAAATATGCCCATCTCCAGGCACACATGTTTGAAAGGAAATGTGAATGCATGCCAACTATTAAGTCGATGCTCAATGGCCACCAGAAACAGGCATTCTTCATAAGGCCTTTTACAATACTCTAGTTGCAAACAAGCAGATGAGCAAGTAAAGGCGTGAAATTAGCAAAGTGACTTGTATGCCAACTAATCTCATCACA